CACCCATGCTGGCTGGGGAATTCTGGGAGTTGGAAGTCCACACCTCTTAAAGTGGCCAAGTTTGAAAAACACTGGTTTAGAGCTTGGCATAAACCAACAGTGCGCATCTAATTAATGGGCAATAATAAAAGGACACCCGCAGCTTGATCAATCTGCCTTTCAGGGGCCACAAGCTGGGATATTGATATCAATACTAATGAAGTCCAAATGTGTACAGTATTGCATTTTTTATTTTTTTTTTACAAGACGGGGAAACAAAACCGGCCCCTCACGAAGGACGATCTCGTTTACTTTGGTTTTTAACTAGAAAGGGAAGGCTGCGGAGCGGGGGGGGCAGACGCCCTATCCCCAGTCCCAGAGACGCCCCTAGGAACCCCGCTCGAAAGGCGTCTGAGGGGAAAATGCCCGGATGGAGGAGGAGGCGGAGCCGCTTGAGACGGGAGGGAAGCCTCGCGCCCCGACGCCTCAACGCGCGCCAATCAGAGGGCGAGGCGCACAAGGCCCCTCCTCCTCCACACCTTCGCCCCGCCTCCGGCTCTAAACCGCCGGGTGTGCGCCTCGTCTCCCCGCGACGTGCTAGTATTCCCCCCTCCTCCCGCACGCGCCAGTGCTAAAATCCCGCCGCCAAAGCTCGCGAGAGGACATGTCCGCGGCGGCGGCAGTGGCGGCCGGAGAGGGTGAGTGAGGGGCGGGCTTGCGGTCGGCGGGGCTTTGCCCCGCGGACGGGAAGAGGGGGACGTGTGGAGAGCGTAGAGGGTAGGGCGCGCTCCGCTTCGTCGGCGACTCAAAAGGGTTGAGGCGAGACTCGAAGGGAAGGGACAAGAACTTTCCTCCGTGCAGCCCGTCCCCCCGGACAGCTCAGGCGAACGACTGCGGGGTTTTGTCCCTTTTTTTTTTCCTCGCTTCAGAAGGGGGGCGGAGGTTGAGGCTGGGAACTCGAGGCTCCGCCCCCGGCTTCAGGGAGGGAGAGGCTGCACGTTGCTCCCCATCTGCGGTCTCTCGGGCAGTGTTTCGATAGGTTTGGG